AGAGAACACATCCTGTTTATTATATTATAATGAATATTTAATATTACATTTAAACTTTGACTATAGACTAGACCTGTTGCATATTAATTGTACTATTTATGAACCTCAAAGCATATGTTTGTATATTTTGTGTTACTCCATAATGGTGTTCTATTTGAGGGCATTTGTAGTGTAGGTATAGGGCCCAAACATAACCTCAAGCCCAGGGGCCCCGCCCCCCTAAATCCTGCCCTGGCTGTCACTGTTTTTATAGTTCATCAGTTGGAAAAATCATTTTGAAAGTGATTCCAACGATATCAATCCACTGTGCTGTTTTTGTTATAGTCGCAGTGTGGTCTATGTTTTTCTTATACACAGAACGATTTTTAAAACTATAATATAATCTTTAACGTTATCATTATAGTTGTCATCGGGCCTTTACAGTTGTTTGTGTCTAAATAGTCATACAATATGTTCCATCTTACAATATGTTCTATTGTTCTGGCCCATTTTTGGTAACAGCCTGCACATCGAGTGCACACCTACTGTATGATTCCTCACACTGCTGTCTAGGCAGGCCGATCACTGGGTTTAAGAACAGAACTCTGAGTGACACAACGTTCACCTGTCTGACTCAATTAATTAAAAGCCCATCATGTAAAGAGCACTTGACAATGACACGACTATCTTTAGCAGTTTCTGTATTTGCAGTGAATCAGACAGAGGGAATGCTGACAGAAGGAATTATCAGAGATGTGAACCAATGTTTCTCTCACCTTCATTTGTGCAAAGGGCATGTCATATCTCCCCACGTACAGGAGACCCACCGTCTGCGGGATCAGTCTAGAGAAAGAGTGAAAATAAAGATCTAAATTAAATTTCACATCCGGACAAGCAAGCATTGTGATATTCCCCAAGACAGCGGAACTCAGGGAAATAATAGCAGCTCTGCTATGGAGGATGTCTTCCGATACTGCCATGTAATTATCCGGGCTTCATAATAAGTGCCTGTAAGACTTTCACAGTCAGGATGAGGTTCCCAAATCAATATTGAAATTAATTTTGAATGAGAAGCTGGTAAATGAAGCACAGGCCTGACTGGGTCACTGAAATAAATATACACAATATGGTTATGTTTTAAAAGAAGTATCTTATGCTTACCAAGGCTATATTTATTGGATGAAAAAACAGTAAAAATTGTAATATTGAGAAATATTATTATAATTTAAAATAACTGTTTTCTATGTGAATATCTGTTAAAATATAATTTATTCCTGTGATCAAAGCTGAATTTTCAGCATCATTGCTCCAGTCTTCAGTGTCACATGATCTTCAGAAATCATTCTAATATGCTGATTTGCTGCTCAAGAGACATTTCTGATTTTAGGGTCATTCCAGCTCAACCAGAATTTTTGATTTTGTTCCTATTTTTTCTGGTGAAAGAAATACATAGAAAAAAAAAAAGAAATACAAAATATTAAATGTCATCGATGTATATTTACCGAGTAATCCACTGCTTTGTAGAGGGGGTCAAAATGACGATCTTCACCTGAGATTTGGAGCCAAATTTCAAATTACAGATAAGGGTAAAAATGACTTCAGAAAGATGGCAGCATCATGATCTTACTTTTACACAGAGAATGGTAGGTCTATTAGTAAAATCTGTTTACTTTAACAATCGTTGTTGCATTATAAAGCAATTATATAATAAAACAATTTCTAAATTTTTTTCTAAAGTTTGTCCTTTAAAATTTTGGGTCTTAAACTTTTCTTTTGGTATCTTCAGTTTTAAGGTCCTATTTGGTTAATTTCCAGAGATATTAGGATCTAAATATGGCTCTAAGAGTAAACTGATACACTGTACACCTTTTCAGTGGCCAAAAACGAACAGAGTGTCTATTTACACTAAGTGCAAACAGCCCTCCTTGTTGGCAGAGGCTATTTACACTAGCTCCACCCACAAACGTGTGATAGGAATGTTCAGCACTATAAAAGACGGCTGATAATCATCAGCTTCAGTGGCGTAGATGGTAAAGCATGTACTGTAGTCTTTTGATGCGATCGACTCGGGTTCGAATCCGCCTTTTACCAAACTTTTTTTTTCCTTTTTCAAATCTCATATCACATCGGAAAGGCATTTATTTTCAATAAAAATTAAGGAAATAATCAAAAAGTTAAAAAAACAAATTATCGGGTAGGGTTAGGGTAGGTGTAGGGGGGGCTTTATTGTCCCAATAATGAGGCATCCATTTAATAATTTGAATAAAAATGATAATTTACACAATACGTTATTACGGCATACTGTTTTATAATGTACTATAATACTGAGGTGCAGATAATTGCCACTATTTGCAATAAGTAGTATAAATAGCAGAAAATCCTGCTATTTTAACAAAGTGTAAATAGAATCTATCGCTATTTACACTTAGTGCAAATAGCCGCTGCCAAAAACTAAATGTGGGTCACTCTGCATACAGCTGATACTTTTCTTTTTAAGAGGAATGTCTGAAGAACAGATAATGTTAAACATAGAAATATATCTTGTTTCTGTATCTGTCATCTTTCTAAAGCCATTTTTACGCACCTGTAATTTCAAATCTCAGGTAAAAATTGTCATTTTGTGGATTACTCAGTAAATATACATCCATTACGTAATATTTTGGGTTTCAACACTATTATGTTTGTCTTTCCTCAGAAAAAATATTAACAAATTCAAAAATTGGAGCCGGGGAAATTTCAGAAATTTGGTAGATTTGACACAGAAATTGTCACGCTTTGCTTACGGGAGGAACGAGGAGATGTGGAGATTTCACAAAACGAGAGTCTTTAATAATCCAACAGGGAGACACAGAGCACAAGGAAGACGTTCAAGACCCGACAAGGAAACATGAGGCAGATTACACATTTATACTAAACTTAACGAAGGACAGACAGGTGCGGGGAATCAACTAATTAAACTAAACGAGGACAGGAACATGACCAAATAAGGGAACACAGGAACAGAAACAGGGGCAAAACACAACAAAACAGGTCAATGATCCTGACAGAAATACCCTATTATCAAAATAGGATATGTTGAATAGAAAGTTCAAAAGAACAGCATTTATTTGAAAAAGAAATCTTTTGTAACATTATAAATGTCTTTACTGTCACTTTTGATCAATTTAATGTCATTTCTGAATAAAATTATTAATAAAAAAAAAATATTTACAGTATATTTACTACTATATTTACAGTATATAAACAGTTTGCCTCACTGACCCACACCTAGCTTGGACTGGAAACTCAATTGTAAAACAGATCACTCTGGACTATATAAAGTTCAGGGATATAAACAAAACACTGATGCCTAAAGTCACTTTTTACAAAAGGTATTCAAAGCTTTTTGATTTGCCATGCAATATCTTTGAATTATCTTAATTTGGGGGCTTTTCTCAGCAAATTATTAATAAACCTGCATATTGTAATAAATTCCATTAAAACTAGAGATGCACCGATTGCAATTTTCTTGGCCGATTCCGATCTTTTGTTAGTGTGATCTGCCGATACCGATTTTTGCCGATTCCGATTTTCTTTCTAAGAACTATAATTGACAGCATATACAAACAAAAATCTACTTTTCTTCAACACAAAGTTTTATTTTCATAAAAAAACACAAGTAAAAAGTCAGTAATAAAATAAGAACAAATAAAAAA